CAAGATATTTAAAAAACAGTTTTGTTGATTAAAAAACACTATATCGGATTCATATCGGTATCGGCAGATATCCAAATTTATGATATCGGTATCGGTATCGGACATAAAAAAGTGGTATCGTGCCATCTCTAATCAGCATAAATGATCTATAAAAAAAGTATAAGTCAGCATGTTTTATAAAAACTTCATAAAAACCTCTGAATTGTAGTGTAACCCTTGCCCTTCAGAGGGAGTTCTGAGTGTCATGTTTAGGCTGTGTGCAGGCAGAAATGGTAAAATGGAAGATCCAAAGTACAGATAAAACGTGAACTCCAAAAACAGCTTTAATGCTAAACTCAAAATAACAACCTTCCAAAATACAAAGAATAAACTTGGGCAGTCAGGCAGACAGACAGACAGAACACACAGCATGAATGAGGGTAGATCGCGACAGTGACACAGAGAAACTTAAATACACAGAGGGAGCAATTGGGGAATGGGAAACAGGAGGGAAACACAGCTGGGACAAATCAGTGCTAAAGAGACAAAGGAAGCAAAACCTGATACAATAACATGAGACACAGACTTTCAAAGTAAAACAGGAAACATAACACAGAGACGCAGACTTGACACGGGGATACAGCAGACAGGGGAGACAGCAACTATGGATCACAGACAGAAAACCAGAACACTAAAACTCAAACAAAACCCACACAGAGAACCTAAACTAAGAATAATCCTATAACCCATAAGACAAAGCTAGAATATAATGAAATAAACAAAATCAAAGAACCAGAAACACAACACGGGGCTGACGACCCAGGCACCCTAACACTGAGTGCTCTTGTTGATCATGAAATACCTCATCACTGTGAGCCACAGTTAATATGAAAATGCTCAGTGATCACTCCAAGCAGCACTAATGGTGATTGCAGTTTCTGTATTGATTATTGTGGTGAATCAATAACTTTGTGAAAGCAGACAAAAATTGGCACCACTGCCAGTAGACTGTCCCGATCACCTCTTTTTCACCCGCACTGTGGCAGCACTTAATCTAGAAGCTGCATTTATGTCCATGAAAAACAAGGCCTGCATCATGCTGAGTTCTCAAAGTCTGAGTTAGATCATGAAAGTGTCAATGAATTGGCGCCACAGTGGTGGGAAAGAGGTGTAAGAAAATACTTTCTGGATGTCGTGAACTGTTTGTTGCCACCAAACACGCTAAATAATCTGATCACTTGTAATTTTGTGACATGAAGTTTGATCCAATTTCAAATGTGACGTTTTTATTTTCTCTCCTCAGCTCTGCTGCTTCTGTACGACGTCACCAACAAAGCATCCTTCGATAACATCAGGGTAAGATCAGACTCGCCTGCTTGTCAGTTGCACCTCATTTCTATTCAGGTTCTGAAAGAATGTTGTTTCATTTATGCTACGCAAAGTGGTCTGTGTATCATCTCATTCACAAGCAGGGATGATATGGGCAATGTCTCTCGCCCTATTGTACCTGGGATAGCCCCGCCCCCCCCATGAGGCAATGACAAGGATAAGTGGAAGAGAATGGAGGGATGGATATATGGATGATACAGTGGCTAGGCTTGCTGTCAAATTACCCTAACCCTCAGGTGGAGGGAAGCTCCTCACCAGGAGTCAGAGCAGTCAGAGGGACTTTTACTCCAAGAGTGACGGCCAAACATCTGCAAGGGGCTTGGAGAAATGGAGATGTTAGAGCTGAGTTATTAACAATGTGGGTCGCATATAGCCCACTTTGAGCTCAAGTGGGCCAGACCAGTGAAACTCCCCTTTATGTTAGTGTAACAAAGTTTAACTACACATTTAATGAGAGCTGTCTGGATAAAAGAAAAAGACGTATAGTTTCAGCAGTAGGTCTCAGTTTTTTCTACATGATAAAGTAATGCTGCTGGAAGAAGTCTGTCAGCATAATTAATATCTGGCTTAAATTGTAAGAAATAAATGTGTAAAATTAAAGAAATCATTCTGTTAGCTGGTTGCCCAGACTCCCAAAAATAGAAAGTTTTTGGTAATTCATGAAAAATGTCCTCGTTTTTTTGCAGGAAAGGTTGTTTCTTTTTTCTTTTTTCATTTCTTTTTTTATTTTTATGTATATTTCTAGATATTTCTACAGTAAGTGCAACAATGCAAAGATTTCTGTTTAATTGCTTATTTATTAATTAGTAAAATGGGTGTGATTGACTGTGGGCAATGTCTAAAACGTTAAGAAAGGTTGTAAAACACAGTTAAAGGTCCAAAAATTGATGCCTTCTTTCACATTTTTCAAAGCATCAAGTGGGCCGGACTGTACTCTTTCGTTGTCCTAATTCTGCCCCCCAGGCCTTATATTTGGCACCCCTGTGTTACATTTGAGTTGGTCTAGCACTCAGATGTATGTGTAAGCTTGTGCTCTCACACATACAAAACCAGAATTCCACAGGATGCTTAGCTGGATTATCTCTGCCTTGCAAACCTAAGCTCCTCCTGAGGTAGGGACATCTGCTCATTTTTAATGACATGCTGCCTTCGTGACCAGCCGGCGGGTACGAGACATGATAAATAGCTTTATTATATGTTACTGAGACTTAGGAGGTCGTTTCATTATTCATTGACTTTCCTCCCACGTACTGGCAGTCGGCTGTATCTCTGAACATCAGCTCCTGTCTACTTCTAAATTGTTTCTTTTCATGTAAACAAAGCAGAAAAGCACAAAGATATCATTTGTGTCTGGTAAAAAAATTGCATTTGATTACATTAGTTTTCAAAGCCGTCTTCAAAGTTGCGCCATAAAATCTCCGATACTTGCTCATGCTCAGACTGGGGATCAGATGAAGGCGACGGTGATGATGATAGGAGAGCTGAGGATGACCAATGTAACACCAAATGAAGGGAAGGGACAAAGTTGAAGAGCATAGGGGTGCAGATTACAAAACTTTTATCTCTCCCTTTGAAGTGGCAGCCTGTCTGTCACCCAAACTCAGTTCCCACTGTGATTTTCCAGCCATTTCTTGCCCCATTTGGTGCCACTCCCCACCGTGCCTTGTAGGTGCATGATTTTCCTTTGATTAACACGGGGTCGAGTTAAAAGCAGGAGATGGCCATTTAAAAAAGCGAGTGTCTTTCACATCAGGCAGAGGAATGGTTCCACAGCCATCTGGCAGGTCTGATCCACTTACACCTGATGTGTGTGTGTGTCTATGTGGATGGATGTGCGGGGCTACCGGTGAGACCTCAGCATGCACTCGCACTCATACAGGTGTGTGTCTGTGTAGGTGTGCAAATGGCTTCATTAGCAGCGGAAGGAAGAGGAGTCCCTAGAGAGAAAGAGACACAGAGCTTAGCTTCTGTCCAAACAGCCGCTTACCGTCATTATGCCTGCATTTAAATAGCTCTCGGTTGGGGATATGAAACCTTGGATACTAACAACAAATGCCCAAACCAACCATGGATAACCCTAACTTTCAGGGGTCGCCTGTCTCGTCTGTCACATTCACTTTTAGCCAGCTGGTTGTTACTGGTCTCAGCCATCAGCTTCTATTTGCAGCATCAGGTTTTCGAGCTAAATTTTGGGGCTACATCACCCTGATGTCACCCTGACACGTACTGTTAGGAAAGCGGTCAGCCTGTTCTTTTGAGGTTTATCAGCCTCTAGAATCAATTGATGATTAGATTACAGTAACAAGTGGGAGCTCTAAATGCAGCAGAAAAATTGGTTTGTAAGTAATGTTCCTGTGTTATCAGTAATAGACGAATTAACTCCAAATTATACCAGTAAATTCTAAAGCAAAATGTCAGGACATCTCTGGTACAGGAGATGTCCTGACATCTAGGCCCCATCGTACCATTTATCTGTGAAATGAATCTCAAGGGGAAGTGGGTGTTGTATCTATGCAAAGTTCACAAGACGCTCTGTTGAAGAAGAACAAAGGTTTGGACTGTCAAATGGCAAAATGTCAAAGATTCTTCCAACAGAAATCTTGTCGATTGTCCATGAACGATACAGAATTTAATGTTCTGAGCACTAGATTAGGATAAGATTCACAGGCTATACAGGCCCGAGTTAGCATAAAAATGTTCAATGTTACAGTTCATGACAGTAAAAAGACAAAAAGACGAGTATGGCTTTTTAAAAAAGGTTCCCAGGGGAAAGGCTCTTCTCTCTGAAAAGAAGATGACATCATGGGTTAGACTTGCAAAGATGCATCTGAACAAACCACAAGACTTCTCGAACAATGTCGTTTAAGAAGATAAGACCAAAGTGATGTTTGATCATAATGCGTACACGTTTGCTGTAAACCAATCACAGCATATCGATACAAACACCTCATATCAACTATCAAGCATGGCGGTGGAGGGATGATGATTTGGGCTTTTTTTGCAACCACAGCACCTGCCTGGGTACATTGCTGTCATTAAGTTGACCATGTATGTTTTATTTATTGTATGCAACAACACAATCTACAGCAAATCTACAACAAAAGGGCTTAAAAAGAAAAGATTAAAGGTGTTTCAACTGCCTGGCCAAAGATCTTACATTGATTGAAATACTGTGGTTGAAACCTTCAGAGAGCTGCTCATAAACAAATAACCCCAAACATCAGTGAACCAAAGTTATGCTGTAAAGAAGAGTGCACCAAAATCTCTCCCAAACGATGTGCAAAGCTGATAAAGTTATAAAGAAAGTATCACTCCAAGTTGTTGCTGCTAAAGGTTTTTCTCGTTTGTTTAGTGTTTCACAGGTTTGCACATCCAGTGAGGAATTTAAAGGGCTCACAGAATTTGGTGAAGGGAGCTAGTGGATGTTTTTTCTCTTTAGTGGTCTCTGTGTTAATTTTTGCTGTGGATATATTTTCATCATGCCGTATATGTCTTCTTTTAAAATGCAAGTTTATATGAGTGATGCCTTGGTCAGGTCTCTCTTGAAAAAATAAATAAATATATATATATATATATATATATTTATATATTTTTTTTTTTTTTTTATCTCAGTGAGACTTTATGGTAAATAAAGGGGAAGAAGGCTCAATAGGAAAATCATAATGAATACCCAAGGCACTAACCCTTTCTTTTCTTTCTACTTGAGTGCCACGAGTTTACTGTCAGTCAGAGAGCTGAGTGCAGCATACACACAAAACATTGCTCCAACAGCCTGCAGGCTTGTTCATGTGAAGGGCAGCTCCTTGCACCACACCACACATACACAGCATGATTGTTAAATTCACTAAACATTCACATTAGCCATTAGGAGAGAGGAGCTTAGCTGCTTTGGTGTAGTCCATGTTTTTTTGTGATCCCTCAGACTATTCGTCACTCTGTTAGGAGTCTGGAGATGGTTTCCTTCATGTGTTCACAGTGTGTATGACTGTCGGTCGGTACAGCTCAAATCTGATGAACATCCACAATTGTATCTCTTTCTTTTTTTTCTCTTTTTGGAGTCCTCAGAAATTTAATTTGTTCCTGTCATGATTAATTTGCCTCAGCATGTGTTTGTGAACATTATCCTCACTTAGATCCTTGTTCTTCAAATTAAAGCCAGATTGTCATCGAGGTAAACATCTAGCTGTAATTTTACACTTAAACCAATGGAGTTAAATTAATTTAATCTGTAATATTGCATTGTTTTCCTTATATTTTTTTGTCAATATTATTCATTTTATTTAATAGATTTCTCTCTTTTAACGTTTAGAACTTGAAAATCTGTTGAGTTGTTTGGTTATACAGTATTCTGCAAAATTCTTGAGCTACATATGGCGAAAATAGAGTTTTTACAATTCTAATGCACTTGAAAGAAAATATTTGGAATGATCGCCTTTATTCTTCTGGACTCTCTTAGGCAAACTTTCTTGTAATTTCTCGAAGCAGTCTTCAGGAATAGTTCTCCAGTCTGCTTGATTGAGATTCAAAGCTTTTGTTTGGATGTTTGCTGACTTTTGTTCTGTTCTTCTTCCAGCCTGTTACAAAGTATTGAAGTCTAGGCTCTGAGGAGGTCAGTGTTGGAAAGGTTACTTTTAAAATGTATTCCACTACAGATTACAGAATACATGGTGCTAAATGTATTTTGTAACGTATTCCATTAAGCTACTCAATGAGGGTAACGCATTCTGAATACTTTGGATTACTTAATATATTGTCATGTTTTTTACAACTACATGAATGTACTATTCCTGTGTGATTTATTACTATTACTGAAGGCTTTGGCCTTGGCGAACAGTAGATGGATGAACTGAAAAATACATCTCTCAGGTCCTGTGTGTGGTCTTTACTCAATATGTTTGCTATTTCTTAAGGACTTGCTAAGTTGTCTGCTATATATAGATACAACACTGAGTCATACCTTGAATTAG